GTCATCTTGGGTACACAGATCTGAATGTGAGAACAGAAGCCCCGCCCACCTGTTGTTCAGAACTTCTGTTCAGGAGGAGCGGGCAATGGGAAGTTCCCCAAGGAATAGGGAAGCGAGGTGACTTATTAGCTTAATATCTATCCCTATTTTTGAGACTTTGAGATATTTTGTCTCCCATTTTGTCTTTACTTCTGCCTGATTTTACATTCCTTTACATTTAATGCTGAATTCCACATATCTGTTTTTTTTAACCGAGTTTTGGGGTGATGGAGCCTATCCCAGATCACACAGGGCTAAAGTCATTGTACACCCTGGAGATGTACACAGGCAACCACATCCTCTCACATTCACACCTACAGTCAGCAGTCAGTTTAGAGCCATCAGTCTCTTCTCATGGATTTATTTGCACAAGTTTAACATTCTTTGTGAAAATGTGAGATAGAGGTGGATGGATTGAGCCAGATATCGACAGTATCGATACCAACGCTGATTTTGATATTGGACAGTACTAGCATAATATACGGTGGCCCTGAGAGACCAAACGGACTGCAACGGAAATAGAAAAAAACGACAAAAGAAATAGGAAAAAAGAAAACAGAAATAGGAAAAAAATACAAGGGAAGTGTTTCTGGGGAGACAATAACTCGACGGACCAGTTGCAGGAACTGAAAAAATGGTAGGTGTGTTTTATCATGATTCATATAATACTGATGACAGAGTTTTAGACTAATAGTTAGGCTAACACACTTACCTCTCATCTTTTGTTTTCTCACAAAACCGATAGATCCTCCACTTCTGTTAAGTGTCTCCCTGCGCAATTCTTAGCATATTTTGGTTCCTGCAACTGGTCCGTCGTATTGTCTCCCCAGAAACACTTCCCTTGTGCTTTTGGAAATCTGTTTTTTCCTATTTCCGTTGTGTTTTGTGTGCTTTTGCATCATTTTTCTTGCTGGTGTTTTCTTAAGTTGCAGTCCGTTTGGCCTCTCAGGGCCACCATAATAATAGGATCAAAACTATCCTCTAAGTTCAGTATATAGCCCAGTGAATTTTTTGGATTCATTATTAGCTTTGTTTAGAAATGAAAAAAGTACCTCAAACATGTTCCAAATGTGCAAATTGATGAGAATTCATCTCAAAAGGCAAAACAGACTGCTCTCTTCATAAGCTGCCTTTATAAGTGAGAAGTACAGGCAATACTGTATTTACTTGGTATCAGATCAATACTGAAGTTTGCAGTATTGCACAACACTAATGAGTTTCAATACATACATTTTTAATATAAATTTTATATAAATAATTTTTATATATTTTTTTTTTCTAATCCAATTTATTTGTACTTGTTTGTGTTTTTCTTTCAAGTTCACCCAATTTCTGGCTATCGTGTATCATTTTGATGTAAATGTGAACAGTTGTGTGGTGGGGTGTTGTTTGTGGCTGAGCTGCAGACGAAGGGTGGAGCAGGGGGTTCAGGGGCAGTGCTAGGGGAGGCTGGATGTCACAGCTGACCTTCATCAATTCCATCATGTCTCTCCTATTTTAGTAGCATGCTGGGGCCCGAGGAAGAGAAGGAGTAGCAGCAACAGCTGCAGGCAAGCAACGCTGAGCTGGCGGTGAGGAGCTGAAAAGCACCGTAAGTAAAGCAGACTGTAAATAAAGTGCACTGCCATCACACTGCCCAGTGCTGGGTCAGGTTAAAACAGTTAAAAGGGAGTAAGTTATAAGCTGACTGTCATTTTGAGAGCTGCATTTTATGATACAGAACTTGGTTTGGGTTTGTGAGCCACGTATTTCACGAATGCCAAATCTACACGACAGGAGGTGCTGTATTAGCAAAAGATGAAATGGCTGCTTGTGACATTACCGTGTTGCATGTAGTAACAAGCAGTGCTGGTCAAGTTACTTGAAAAATAGTAATTAGTTACTAATTACTGATTACTTCTCCAAGAAAGTAATCCTGTTATTTCACTGATTACTTATTTTCAAAAGTAATTAACTACTTTATTACTTCTATTTATTATGCATAATACAATTGAAAAATGAAAATCAAATGAAAAAGTCTCTCTT